CAGCATTCTGGGATTAGAGGTGTCTCATGCCTTATGTATTTTTAAGGCTGAATATTGGACTGTTGTCTAGAGTCAGAAAACATCAAATTAATTAAAAGCTTAGAAGCAAAAAGGAGACAAGTAAGGCAAAGGAAGTAGATTCAAAAAATAAGGATGAGCAGGTGGGAGGGGAAGGAAGAGAAGTGGTGTTACTAGGATTGCTTGCCTCCTTGAAATCTGAGAAACAGAGAAAAAGGGAACTACTTCTATCCTTCTTCACTGTCTAATGATACATGGAGTGACTTGTTAGAAAAGGAGAAGCATTTGTAACCTCATCAAAGGCAGAAATTTTAATTCACAGGTTTTACTCTGTCTAATTTCCTATGAAAACCAGTGTACTATATATTTCATAAACATATTTCTATTATTGCAATTTATAAAAAAGGAAGCCAAAATTAGTGAACTATTTGTATCTGATATAATATTGACCTGCTTTGAAACTTTTGGACTATCTGGGAAATGGAAGTCACTAATGCATCACCTTTTTGACTTTCACTTCTCAGGAACTTCAGTGAGCTAGCTTTGAGCAGTTCCACACTCACTTGAAATAAAATAGCATGGAAACAAAATCCATCCATGTTCTGATTTCAGTGACAGGCATTCACAAAATGCTGCACTTAAAAAAAAGGAACAAATTCAGAGTTTGAGGAAGGACTGAGTTTATCACATCAGTATTGCCTTTGGAGAAGAATTAGCACTATGTCCTGACTGAGGAGGACCAGCCACGTTCCAGTTTAATGACTGGCCTAGAGCCAAGGTAGAGGGTAACTCAGAGAAGCTAGTCTTACAGAAAAAAGGAGGCATCTGAGTTCAGGCAATTGCAATATCAAAAATGATAGCAGAAACTCAGTGTTAATGGGAATTGGGTAGGTGGTGACCTGTACTACTTTAAGGCGATAAGTAAAGTTGAAGTAAGGAGAAGAAAGCCGTAAGGCAGGTTTTGATACATTTAAGTCAGGCATTTGAGTTAGCCTGGCTGTTAGTGTTCAGAGCTGAGCAAAATCAAGTAGTGGAGAAGGATCACCTGGTGCAGGGCAGAGTGTTCCAGAAGGCTTTTGTACACCTTGGAATCTTATTAAAGTCATGTTTATGGCAATTATAAGAATGGCTGGAAGAGATGCTGGGTAGCAAACAGAGCACAAAAGACATAACCATTAGAAAAGAATGTAGTACAGTGATATTCAGCATAGTATCTCAGCTCCATATTAATAACTTTGCTGGGAGATATTTCTTGACTAGCTGACACAGCACATTGAATAAATCTGAAATTTAGTATCCCTTAGGGCAGGTGACAGAGGGTCATATGTTAGATGTGTTTTGGGAGATCTAGCCCTAAATTTGCACATAATGCACCTCATTCTGTAAAGTAGTGAAAGGTGAACATAAACATAATATTTGTTTTGTCAAGGGCCTTAAGTAAAAATATATGATAACAATTCTGCTAAAGGCATGCAATCCCATAAGAAAGCTCCCTAGCAGACAATGCAGTCCTTTGTGGTAGGAGATGTGTAAAACCATCAGGACATTTAGGGAAACCAATGAAAATATTTAACTTGCATTTAGAAAGGGAAGGCTGGAATGATTTGTCTCTCTCCAGTGAGTTGTCTGCTTCCTTGAGAGGGCTGTATCCCTATTTGAAATTATGTATGCTCAAAGTAAATTGCAATTAAACTGTAAAAAAGTACCCAGCCACAACACAGAACTAGACAAAAATTCAGATCAGAGCCATTTCTGGAATATTTGGGGATATGGTGAGCAACAGCTTTCTTTTGCAGAAGAGAATTACTGAGAGAAGAGGAAGATGAGAGTCCCTGTAAGTCTGCAGGGAGATGAGCACTAGTGAATGGATCCAGCACCTTCATGAGTTCTGCTTGTGACAGAGAAGCAGGACAGCTAGTGGCCCAGAGCCTCAAAGACAGGTAAGGAATTAATATGCTCTTGTGGTGGTATGATCCTCCGTTGGGGTCAGTGTAGACCTAGCCAGACCGCCTCTCTCCCAAGACAGGCCTGTGGCTGAACCTGATGACAGTGAGGGAGGAAGTCTGTACCAAGGCAGGAGCTGGGACTGGGTTTGTTGGGTCTCTGACTTGCCATCTACATTGCGGTGGGGGAGCTGCACCTCTGCTGTGGGCACAGAGGATTTCCTCCTGCAAGAGACACTGAAAACTAAAGGCAGAAAACTGGTGTCTTACATCCTCCCTCCTGATGGAGGATGGGATATGGAAACGGTTAGTGGCACTCATGGGGACAACAGGGGCCATCAAGCAGGACAGGAGGGGCCCTTCCAGGTGCTGTCCAGTGGATCCATAAGGAGACAGGACCCATATCCTGGGTGTCCTAGAAAAAGAATCATAGAACTGTTTAGGTTGGAAAAGACCTCTAAGGTCATCGAGTCCAACTGTTAACCCAGCATGGTCATGTTCACCACTAAGCCATGTCCCTAAATGCCACATCCATCCATCTTTTAAATACCTCCAGGGAAGGGACTCTTCCCCTAAAGACTGACTGTTGGATAATTCTTTTCTTCTTCCACAATAGCAGCAGGAAGAAATATTTATGCAGTTGACTCTTCAACTCCCATAGTCCAGCTCTACCTGAGACTAGGGTGATTGACTCACAGCACCAGAGGAAGGGAAGGGACAGAGCTGCCAAAGACAGAAGCCTCAAGGATAGGAAGAAATGGTAACAAAGGACATGATAACCTCAGTCACCTGACTCACCCCCCCATCCATTTTTCTTGAAAAAGCTAATTTTGTTCCGCAGTGACAAGCTGGAAAACTGCAGTGTGGCTGGGGTGCAGAGCTGGTGATGCACAGAGAAGACAGAGACTGCTCAGTATATTTGGTTTAAGGCTCTATTTCATACCATATGGAAAGGTGTGATAATTTTACTGTTTATGCTCAGGTTGATGGTCCATCTTGGAAGGTGAGCCACAACTATGACAGAACTATCTCTGCATATCTCTACTGCTGAGATCCATCTGCAAATATCTGCAAATGCCCTCCCAAGTGGGCATCCTCACTCCTAAGTGGTGCCAAAAGGAGCAGCAGAGCTGGCAAGGACACCTAGCTACAAGAGACAATATGAAGCTGCTGTCTTATATGGTGCTGCTATGTTAATATCCTCAAGTGAATTTATTTCTAATGGGCCTTCATGTCTCATCGTTACAGCACTGATTAGAGGAGTTACGCATCATGATTTCATTGTGTTGTTCTGCATAACAGATATTGAAATAAGCTGAGAGGACATTGAGGCAGACATAGGGAATGGAGGATTTTGTATGTGTGGTTAATAAATAAGCCATACATAGAAGCAAGAAATAGAGATACCTGTTTCTGGTTTGGCTTGATTACTTTTTGCCAAAGTAAAAAACAAACTTGCAAATGTCATTAATGTAGAAATTAATGTCTCTATAATTAGGTGAGACTGGCATTTTCTGGAGTGTATTATACAGTTTGTGTTAGTCATACATTTCAGAAAATAACAATTTGACATTCATAAACAAAACTGTGCTTGAAAGGAACTTAAATAACTTGGATAGCAAATACTCGATTCATGATGTTAGTTTAATTCTGCAGAGCCATAGTGAACATGTGTGTGTAAGCCAGCACAGGCAGGGCACAGGAACAACCATAAAACCACAGACAAAATGCAAAGAGTAAATTTATTTTTGTTACCTCACCAACCAAGGAATCCCCAAAGCAGCACCCAGGCAGAGATGCAAACATTTGGTCCATGCTAAAGGTTCCCCCAGTTGGATCCCTCAGCCCTGGCTGCTGGGCAGCGTTTTGATCTCCCTTGCCCAGGCTTTCCTCAGGGCTCTCGCCCACCCGCCCGTGGCTGAGGGGCTCAGCTGTGCCCTATATGTTTGGGCTTTTTTGTTTTCTACAATCTTATGCAAAGCCCAGCAAGAAGCATCTCTAACTTTAAACATACCCCAATCTTTACACAATCAGCACATGATCTGACTGTGCTTCATTTCTATATGCAACGTATGGCTGTTCATAATTTATGAAGTATTAAGGAAACTGGGTCCAAGGCTAGGCACGTCTTTGTGACAGATGTATCACAAAAACACAAAGAAAGTGGGTCCATGGTCACGGAATTTATTCTACTGGAAGAAATATTTCAGAATAATTATATATTTACAATCTATAATACAGTCATTTATATCAACAGCAGAAGGAATAAAAAACTGTAAAAGTGCACAAAGTCACTGTAGAGCAAAAGTAATGTTAGCAAATGAACCTAACTATTTCAGAAGAAATTACAAGCAAAAAGTATTCATAAAAAATAACAATATTCTAGGTGGTATTTTTTTCTCTCCCATTTCATTTTCATTCCCAAATAAATCCTGTGGGGTTTTTATCTCTGAAAGTGGCAGTTTTCTCTATAACTATATTGATTTCTAAATTAAACATTTCTAAAATTGTTATTTTCCAAATAGTAATACGGAAATGAGCAAAAAACTGGTACAGAAGATTTTGCTGCTGACTTCAATGAAGCTAAATCTTCGTTTCTGAAGAAACTATCAATTCAATTCCTTACAGGATTCCAAAGATAAAAGCATGCACATGTAAACACACTTTTTATCCTCAAAATTATGTAAAAGTGAAAATATCAAGCCAATGCCTGTACATTAAGGACATTATATGAGTCACCAATTAAATACTAAGGCAAAATAAGACAATATTAATGAAAGAAAGTATAAATATAAATGATATTCTGTGGATACGGCAGAAGCCATAAGCTACTCTATAGAAATGAGAGGTTCACCTCAAGTACAAAAATTACGAGAGATCACTATGTAAACCTACCATCTTAAGGGTATTATTCAGATAATTTTTTAAAAGATACAATGCAACTCAGGAAAAAATTATGTTACTCACCAAACTCAATTAAAAAAAATTTTAATTACATAAAAGATATCCATTTATTTTAAAAAATTATATATTTTAGGGTTTTTTTACAGACACAAAGAAATCAGACAAAAAGTGTAATTTTATAGACAAAAAGTCACTTCTCTTGCACCAATTTTAAGAAGAAAGACAGTAAAAATAATAATCACAGAACTAATCTAAACAAAGCCAAACAGGTAACAAACAGTTCAGATGTAGCTGACTTAGAGAAAGTAATGCAACTCAAAACTAGCTCTGGGTCAGCTTGGGTTCTAGTGCCATCTGGTGAAATAACAGTAGTTTTCCCCTTGCAACCATAGCTACTATGCAATTTAAATTAATCCACTGCATTAGACAGCAATACATGAAGCAAGGTCACAAGGAAGATGAAGTGCTTGAGTAGTCTAAGTGCACATTCAGAGAGCCATACACCGCACCAAGTAAATTGAGAACCTTCTCTTGAATCATGTCAACCTGCTCCGACGGGCAATAGTCATCCAAACTTGACCTGTAACAAGGAATTGAAAAAGGCATGAGAGAATACAGATATCACCACCATGATCACATTGTGTATTCTTGTAAGCCTCTGTGGCTAGGGTGAAGCTACTTTCAAACTTTGACAAGTTCTGCCTCCCAGTATCCCTTCAAAGTGTAGTGCTGTGGATCTCCTCACTACTTTTTAAGCTGAATAGAAAGTCTGCAGCAGATCAGGAATGTGATCTAATCTTCTTTCTAATTTTACTCTCTTCCTGAATCTGACACAGAACATGTTGGCAGACAAAGTTCAAGCAAACGATCTAATTAAAGGACACATGGAAAGTTAAAATTGAAAAATTCAAATGCTACTAGTAAAGTAGGTAGGAAAACTTGAAAAACATCTTCACAATCCCTGGGATATAACATTTTTTACGGTACCTATTAATGAACTGCAAACCAATACTAGAAGAGCTGACACTTGTTGAATTTTTATCTGTCAAGATCTAGAGAGATGATTCTGTTTTCTCTGCAACACTGGATGACAATCCTGCAGCTGGCACAGGGAATATAGCTTTCTTTTATTGCAGGGACTAGCCATACTATTTCTTATTGACAAAGCCAGTTTCATGTCAGCTTCTGCTATTGTTGCCTGCCCTTTAAGGGCACACTTAGTATTTCTGAATGATTAAATTGCAACAATTTGAAAACAGATACACTGTGGCCTCCAAATTAGGTTTGGAGATCCCTGGTTCTCCCAGGTCCCTGGCCTCAAGTTCCATCCTTTTCTCCTAAATAATAATCTTACAGTCCTGGAAACATAACTTTTACTCCATAACAAAGCTTTACTAGAGTTTTAAAGAATATAGATTGCTTTCAGCCTATTAGACAAAAACCAGTTCCAGCAGAAATCCTATCTATACTACAATACCCTAGAGCAAGAGAAGAAGGAAAGTGGGATGGTAGCCCAGGCAGGCTTGTCCTAGCTTTGTTCTAATTAGCACAAGTAATGGAAGTAGTGAAGATGCATGAACTCCAGTGACAGCTATCAATCCCAACATACACAAGGCCTCATCACAGATTTTATATAACCTATGCTGAAGCAGATTAAGTCATCATGTTTTCACGGCTTTTGAAATCTGTGCCAGCTACTTTAAAGCCCAGTAAAACTGGCCATCAGTGCAGAGTCTTCCCTTATCTGTGTAGATTCTGTCACTGCTTTATGATCAATATATATCCAAATGTCAATGTTTACTATACTATAAGGCTTCCACTTTAAGACAGGACTTAAGATGCACCAACCAGTGCTATACTGATAAAATCATTTATCTTCATGAGCACAGTCAGAGCTTTTTAAACTAAAAGCGTCTACATAGTCTTACCGCGCAACAGTCACAAGTGTGGGCTTGGGCATATCTTTAAGTAGAACTTTAATGGATTGTATGAGGCCTTCGATCTCGTCTTCAGTGCTAACATGGTGAGGAAGCTCCATATAATCACAGGTCAAACCAGCCTGATGGACCTACAGGTAAATTAAACAGAGATTTAATTTGTGTTGATGAATTATTGATACAGCTTACCTGTGTAGAAGGTCTCTAGCATGCCATCCCTAGCCCAGTAGGTAACTTACACCTCTTTAGACAGTAAGAGTTGTGGGTTTTTCTGTCCCAGCTTGTTCTTTAAACGAAACAAAAAAAAATCTGGAGTTGTATGGATTGTTTCATTATCTCCAATACACTGTACCTTTTCTATAAATTCAGAGTGTGCTGCAGTCTTTGAAGATGATAGCTCTGATGCTTTATAAGTAGGTATCTTATCTTAAATTCTATAAAGAACATCAACAGACCCTGGTGAAATGAAACCTCCCTTCACAGAATGCGGCTCAAGACATCACAGTCCTGAAAGATCACACTAATGTTGCCTAAATATAGACAAGCAGAGAAGAACTTTAGCAGCTTTAAAAAGAAAAGGTGGCCTAAGTAATGAGACATAAAAACCCAGGAAAAGTAACAAACTCTCACAAAGTCCTGAATCAAGAAGCAAATCTGAAAGGAAGTATGAACTTTCCCTGTCTGTTGAAGCTATGCTTTTGAAATTTGTCTACTTTCTGCTCTTTTACCTTGCCACCTACCATTTCATAGTCTGGGCTTTCCATCCTGGTTTTCAAACTGTGAACTAGTTGAACAAGTGGCTTCATTCTGGAGTTAAAACAAAACAAAACAAAACAAACAAAAAGAAAAAAAAGAAGAGAAAAAAAAAAGAGGAGAGTAGAAGTTATTATGGCCTAGGATTTGAAAATGAAATTTGCCCCTCTTTGTCATCTTGCACCTGAAAAAATGGAAATTATCAGTACTATTGTACTGTTTCACCAGGTCTTTCTTATAAAGCCCTTATACTCATACCTGCCTCTGGCAAGTCCTCTTTGTGTTTCTTTTAGGGCAGACCTGCAGAGGAACTGTCGTGGCTCAAGTCGTATGAACTTTTACAGGAAATATTTGTTGTCACTGTTACAGAAGTCTGACAGTAATTGCTGCATTTGCTGTGGAAAATAAATGATTTTCTCATCAAGTAAAAGCTCAGATTTTCAGTGTCTCTTTTCAGCTGAAAACATTTACTTCAAAAGCACAGTGGGCGATGGGGCTGGGGCAGTTCAGATGTTTTGCGGAGACTGTTGCTCAGATACAATTTTTCACTCATTTCCCTTTTTCCACAGAAAGCTGACCCTTCGGGAGCACCAAGGAATTGCTTCTCCATGTCCTCCTTGGTTTGTTGTTTTTTTGAGAACTCTGATACACACTGATGACTAAGTTTTTAGTCAACAAAATGTCTCCATACATAGGCAACAGAGTTTGCACAAAGCTGGAAAAGGCTGAGCTTCAAAGGCTTACAGTGGTGCTGAAGACAGCAGACTGACTTTCTTTTTATTTTGTCTGACTCTTTCTCCTCTAGAACTAAAGGAAAAACAGTATCCTTGCATAGATCCTATCCTTCTCTGTTATCAAAGTGCTGGGCTAATCAGTTCCAAAATTTCTGTTTGCATTTTAAGCCATTTAGAATTCTCGTACCCAGGATATGAAGCCCACTTCTGTAGGGTTTCTTCATCATCACTGTCACACAAATCTGCAAATGCTGCTTCCAGATCTTCCAGCTGGTGAACACGGTTTTCAACACAATCCAGCAAGCCTTCCTTTAGATAAGCATATATAACAGTATGTTAGTAAAAAAATGAAGTAAGAATATCATGGTTTACTTATGATTTAAACTCTGTAATGACTGATCTACTGGAAGTGAGGAATCTGAAACAACTGATTCATTACTATGGTACATCAATTCAAGAGGATCACAGTGAATGCCTGTAGAAGCTGTTATACCTTCAGAATAAATCATCTCACTTTGCTCTGTCTTTCCGACAACAATTTTAAAAAAGCCACCTTCTAAATATGTGCCTGTTTTTATTGCTGATTTACTAAGAGATATGAAAATCAGTTTGCCAATATTCCACATATCTCTATTTCTTTATATATATATTAATTAGGTTTCATTAATTTTGCTAATTATATGTGTTGAATCTCTCTAACTGTGTCCAGATGAGATTATGAAAGCTTCCATTTCCTATTAGCAGCACAGAGCACATAAAATGAAAAAATACATTACAGTGGCATAATACCATCCTTTCCACATCTAAATAGACAGGTAAAATACCAATTAGACATTCATCACAACTCTGGCTATCAAGTAAGAGCAACTAGAGCAAAGAAGGGGAGAGCCTGGAGGGGTTAAAAAAAAAAAGAAGAACCCTCACCAATCCAAAGCCCTGTGGAGCCACAAAAAGAACAACATTGCAGATGACTTACAATGTTTTCATTCCTTCCTTGTCAATTACCATTTGTTTACAGAAATTAATTTTCACACTCATGTTAAATATTTATGCAATTCACTCGTTTAATCAAAACATTTAATAGGAAAGAATTTCTAAGATGCTGCTGATTAGCATTCAGCATGCCACGTAGCTTAATTTGAGACCACTTCATTAAGCACCTTTGATAGGTTCCCTCCTGTTGGCGTAACTCATTTTTATTGGGTAAATAAAAAGAATCATTCCCTCATACATCCCACAAGGAAATATCATACCTCTGTTGCATTTTTGTGTGGCTTCTTGAAATTGTACAACTCTTGCAAGAGCCCATATTCTGTCTTAGATAAAGAAAGAGGAAAAAATTAGACTCTTCAAATGAGAAACCAAATCTTCAAAGCTTTCCTTCTTCAAAAAAATAATGTGATTACCAAGATCATTCCCCTACTCTAGTACTGCAGACAATAATGAGCAGTTATGCCTCTCATCAGGACAAGCTACCACTCTTTGGACAATCAACACCACCACGCCTTTTGAAAGGCAGTCTCTTGATACCACTGTGGTTTTCTAATAGCATGTTATGAAGGGTAAAAAATGACACAATCTGCCATTCTATGATTCCTCCTTGATGATTCTTGCTGTGGGTATTTGGAAGGTTACCCGTGGAAACCCAAGCATAGCTTTTATGTCCCAAGCAACAAGCACAAGTGAGCCATATACCTCTGAGCTTGAATGTACACTCCATACCGTTATCAAATGTAAGAATCTCCCCCTATTTGGTGGTTGTAAATTTTTGTCACGTACACTCCACTAGAATGTCTCTCTCTAAAATATGACCATGAATCACTAACCGTGATCAGCTAATCTGCTGACTGAGCTTAGGTGAAAGTTTCTCCATAGACATAAATACTAAGACTATGACTCTTGTGAATGGTATGAGGCCATTCAACTGTTATGCTTACCTCTGTGTACATTTCTTTGAATGGATTTTTAACTGAAAAAAAATCTAAGTCAATGTCCAAAACATATGCATCTCCTTTCTGCAGCACTTGGCAGATATCTTTAACAACTTCCCTTATTGGGCATTCACTGTTTTTGAGACAGCTTGAAGCTGAGCACTCTGGCGAGGTTCCTGCCCTATTCAGGGCACTTGTATTTTGTACTTTTTTCTTCACACTTGGGGTGCTGTTATCAAGGTCACCAAGACCCACTGATGAAGAGGCAGAAGTGGCGCTTGCTGTGTCATCTGTATTTAGCTTCAGTCTTTTAGCAGATGCTACTTCACCATTTTCTTCACGGCCATTTGATGATTCAATAGGGTTGATAAGAATGACGTGTAAATTTAACGACTTCTGGTTTTCTAGCTGATCAGCAGGAACATAAAGACCATCACTTAAAAAATAATGATCTGTGCCTGTAACCCTACAATTGACAGTAACTCACAGTTAATATACATCTTGGTAAAGAGCTTAGGAAACAGCATTTTATACTTTAAAGATCCAGAGAAGAATAAACAGACGTTTGATGGGTAATGAAAGCAATAAAACTGTGCAGACAAAATTTCAATCCTCAGGTTTTTAAATTAAAATTTTTTCCACTTCTTTATTGCGGAATAAATATATATAAATTCATCCTATACTTTTTATGATAGTCCTACAAGGTTTTAATGGATAAGAAAAAAGATTCTACATTATGTGCTACTATAATTAATTTGCCATTGAATTGCATTTTAAAGACAACATCCAGAATTGAACAAGATATTGTCAATATGGCATATAAGATTGCAAAGTTATAGATATTTTGTCTTTACTAATTTTCCAGGAAAATTATGTTAGTCGGGCTTGAGAAATGCCCTGAAATGCATAAATATTCATTTAGTAAAAGTAAAATATTATTAATTAATAGGTAGAATTTAACTTCTTTTACCACTGACATAGATTCCCTGCTCTAAGTGAGAAAGATGGTAACTAGAGGATAAATAGCTAGGTATCAATTGAATCCACTTATATAAAAAAACCAAAACAACAACTAATTCAACAAAAGCGACAGTACTAAAACCTCTGCTTATATAAAGAATGGAATTTTTAAGCCATATTTCAGTACATTAAGCCTTAAGCATCATAAACTCCGACTAAAAATAAGCTTAAGTGTGAATTTCAGAAGCAGGAGACATTTGAAGCTCAGTTCCTCAGTGTCTTGTGGATGGATTAGCCTGAGCTTGCCAAGATGAGAGGTTGGATCACAGCTTCATCTTGTTGACAGGGCATTCACAGGACCTCTTCTCAGAAATTCTGCAGGGTTCAACATGAGCTCATACTACAGCCTTTTCCTTACTGGACACTAACTAAGGTATCTATTGCCTATTCATCTGTTGTCAACAAAACTTTAAGCAAGTTTGTATTTCTGAGGACTCTTTCCCTTTTTTCCTTCATGGATTTGGTAAGCCTAGAATCTGAAGTGAAGGTACCTCACAGTGTTCAAAAAGAAGCCTGAAATGTTGTTTTCGTGACAGCTAAGGCCACCAGTGAGAGAGATATTCAGCCATTATGAAGTATTTCTATATATTGGTTAAATGATTAAATGTAATTGAAAGCACTAGCTGCTTTATTATTATCATCATCATCATTATCATAGTTATCATTTATTATTATTATTATTATTATTTAGGTTAACTGTAGGCTTCAGATTCAGAATTGTAGAGCTTTAGCATTTTATTTAAGGTGGTAAAACAAGGCATTTCTCTGGTGTCTTCTGTTAAACTTGCTTCAAAAGATTTACTTCAATATGCTGATAAGAGACATGATTTGTAAATGCCCATAAAGCTGTACAAAATCACAATGCAGCGAATTTAGTGAATGCAAAATTATCATGGACTGCATCCTGCAGAATGATGAGGGGCTCTGATCAGAACTTGAATCACAGAATGATTAACATTGGAAGAGACATCTGGAAGTCTCTAAGTCAATCATCTGATCAAAGTAGAACTAACTTCAAAGTAGATGAGGCTCCCCAGATCAATTATACTTTATGAAAGGATGGAGAATTCACCACCTGAGTACCTGTTTCAGTGTTTAAGTAGTAGACTAACTTAAAAAAACAAAAAACAAAACAAGCATAAAAACCACTCCCACACCAGAAAAACAGAATCATGGCTGACACCAAATAAAAATTTTACTAGGTAGACCAAAGGGTAAATAGATATAAGTTGAACTGCATTAGGCATTTCCTAAGGAAATTACAAATACAAATTTTCATCTTTATCCAAGAACACAAAAAAATGCCAGTGAAAAGCTATAGAGACATCTTTTATATTACTAGCATTATGACAGCAGACAATTTACCTGATTGTTGTTGTTGATACATCTTTCCCAACAAGAAAACTGTGTTTTCCTTCTGAGATCTGATGAGCCCAGGGTGGGTGAAGCCATACTACTTGAGAAATATGGCCAGCATAAACAGCAGGCATAATCCAGTTCTCAATACTTAATTCACTGTAATCAACAGAGAAAGACAGGAGGTAACAATATTACTTTAATTATAAATAAAACATGGTCAAGAACATCACAAACATCTTCCACATCTTTAAAACCTTCAAGCAAATAATCTAAAATTAGTAGTCTGTGTAAGGGTAACATCATCAAAGAAAGAAAAAGAGGGAAACCTATAATGTCTGTAGTAGATTTAAAAAAGTTCGGACATAGAGTGCAATCAGCTTCACTTTTAGCACGGTGCTTTGACGATAAACTACTTAGTGGTGGACATGGCAGTGTTAGGTTACTGGTTGGACTTGATAACCTTAGAGGCCTTTTCCAACCTTAACAATTCTGTGATTCTACATCCTTTTCTCTTGATACATCAGACAGAAGAAAGTGCAAGGACACAACACCGTTCTAAATAACTTCAAACTGACCTCATGAGAGTGTTTAAATGTAAACTGCTCTAGGTAGATTTTAAATATCATCTTAGTAATTAAAGTGAGTCACTCCACAACTGCAAGATTAGCATCTTTCCTCATTATCAAGACCCTATTTAATTACGTGTATGATGCCAACTGTATCCTGGGCCACATCAAAAGAAGCATGACAAGCAGGTCGAGGGACGTGATTATGCCCCTCCACTTCACTCTTGTGAGACCCCACCCAGAATACTGCATGCAGCTCTAGGGCCCTCGACATAAGAAGGGCATGGTCCTGTTGAACCAGGTCCAGAGGAGGCCAAGAAGATGATCAGAGGGCTAGAATACCTCTCCTGTGAGGACAAGCTGAGGGAATTGGGGTTGTTCAGCCTGGAGGCTGCAGGGACACCTACAGAACTATCCAGTACCTAAAAGGGAAGAAAGCTGGAGAGGGACTTTTTACAAGGACATGCAGTGATAAGACAAGGGGGAAGGCTTTAAACTGAAAGAGGGTGGGTTTAGATTAGATATTAGGAAGAAATTCTTCACTGTGAGGGTGGTGAAGCATTGGAACAGGTTCTCCAGAGAAGTTGTGAATGACCCATGCTTGGCAGTGTTCAAAGACAGGTTGTGTGGGGCTTTGAGCAACCTGGTCTAATGGAAGATGTCCCTGCCAATGGCAGGGGAGTTGGAACTAGATGATTTTTAAGGTCCATTCCAACCCAAATCATTCAAAGATTCTAAGACAGAGTCCACAAAACTTATTAGTCAAAAAAAGAGAATAAAATATTGACTATGGGTAGGATGATTCAAGTATTTACACAATTGCATTAGCTTGTAATTGCTGTAAATCACCATAATACTGAAACAATCAATATTTATTTTAAAACAAGTAGAGAAAGACAATAGCAGAGATCACCCTGTGGCTTATTCTCTACCTACCTCAGATGGTGGTAGAAAATATTGGTCTTTATGATTCTAATACGAAAATCTTGTTCAATTTCACATATTCACCATGCCAACAAATGATATGCTATTTCAATCTCAAAGTCAATTTTTCAGTGTGAAGAAAGAAAGACTGATTTAAAACTACGGCTCTTCAGACAAAGCATCAACTTAGAATGTTTTCCTGTTACCCAGAGGAACTACTGGGGCTAATATCATAATATACTACTGAACAACTAAACAAAGCAAATTCATACATCTTAAATTGCTTGATGTACCACATAAACATTTGGCCACATTCATAAAACACAAACGTAACTTTTTCCATTAAAAAAATAAAGTTTCAGCAAAAGTGAAAAGATGGAAGATACAACCTGAACCCAAATTATACCTCCTTTGTTCATGTTTCTTACTCAGTTGTACCAATATTCACTGTGAATCAAAGGCAGCAAGAAGCAGACTTAAAGTACCCTGAGGCAGTACCCAGGACTTACCTAAAAAGAGTTTCTTTGTCAAATACAGTATCTGCAGGCATATTCACAGGAATAAGAAGGTCTGGATGGGAATCAAGATGAACAAAACTGATGTTACTGGCAGGAAGATGCTTTGAACCAATGGCACGATAGATGAAAGGCAGCACCTAAAGCAATATGAATAAAAACATTTTAATGATAACCAGTAGGCTGAAAAATGCAACCACTTTAACAGCAAAAACACTAGTCCCCCTCTTATTCCTTTAGAATTTAGATTAGAGGGAGGAGGAGACAGAAAACAATACAAAGGGGAAATAACTCCAGAGGCAAGACAACTCATGAACTGTAATCATTATAAGCCCAAGCATTCCACATGAGAAACTGCTAAAGAATTACAGCCTTACTTTGTTTTTCCTTCTTTATAGGAAGTCTTGTTTGCAGTAGCTTCTCACTAATGATTCAACTCAATTCCTAGGGCTTTTTTTTCATTAACAACTAAACCCCAGGAACGCCTTTCCTCTTCTGCAGAACATTGCCCCTGTATTTCCTTCCCCATACATTCCTCACCATGCATGGGTGCTGTGGAGCACAAAAACATTTTGTTACTCAAGGTTTATAAGTTAATTGATATAGAATGAAAACTGATCCCACCACGATTTAGACTTTAGCTGATCATTAAACCTATTCTTCTTGAAAAATTAATTCCTAATGATTTAGTGGCTGCAATAAACACACAACCTTTCTCAACTCTCCAGCCTTATCCCCCGCTGAAGGTGCGAAAAACAGAAGATGAGGCAACTCACCGATTTATAGCATAGAAAACCACTCAACTGCAATAATACAGGGTGGTAAAAATGAGAAAACTGATGGCTGATTCATGATACCTCTTACACTGAACTGTCGTCTTTCTCACAGTTAGGGGACATCAATTGCCTTGGCTGCCAGAGCAAATCCAACAAGGATTGTGAATCACAGCCCTATCATACAGGGAATGTGAAGACTGTAAAGAAGCAACAAAAACTACATGTGACCTCTACATTACAACCGCACCTGAGCTACTTTTCTTGGCACAAAACTGATTAAGATGACAGATCTGGCATACTGCATGGGCATAACCATAAAACATAAGTATACTATTGCAACAGTAGATAAAACTAGGTTAAAAATAACAAGGGTTCCCTGATCCATGACTTTTACTTCTTTGGAAAAAAAGAAATAATCTGGCCTACCTGAAAAACCTACAGTCTTTGCAATTAAAATTGAAGCTTCACTCAGGTAAGTGTAACTGCAGGTTGCAAGAGACACGAGAGACTGAGGTCTCTAACCTTGCAAATAAGAACAAAATTTCCTTTATGCCAGCTGTTATTATTAATCAATGCATGACGCATTTACTGACAACTTGTCCTAGAGGAACATCACTGTCAGCAAAGGATTATTTAAATTTTCTGTGAAGTTCTTACACTTGGAATAAAAAGCCATTTGCATTTTGTGCAAGACAGACCAGTGCATCTACATGCACATCCTGAAAACGCAGTGTATACATTTAGTATGAAAAGACTTTAAGTTAATTGAAAACATAAGTACAGAGACTAAAATAAAGAAGAAGGATCATTAACTGGTATTATCTCAGTATTATTATCACAGTGACACTCTAAATCCTTGGTTACCATGTAAAATCAGCTATCACGGTATCATATATTTCAGCAAGTCTTAGCAAAAATTAACTGCATTAAACTATTTACTTACAATTTCATTATTTTCTGCAATGGACTTTACTACACTAAAACTTTCTGTTTGCATAGAATCTAGTAAATAATCTGTTACTTAGGATGAAGGGCTCAACTTATGCTACTATAAAAAAAAAAAACAAAACATGAGAAACCAGAAACAGCAGTTCAAAAGCAATTCCTTCTTCACCCCCTTTTTCAATGACTTAACCAAGAAAGCAAAGCTCCACATTTAACATTTCTCATCAACTGGCTGTCAATCCGCTTGTTGGAATGCGATTATACCTGCTGTCAGACACTAGGTTGGGTTGAGTTTCCAAGTACTGCTCTAATGGCCAGCAAATTATAACAGCAGCGTAATGTAAATATAATTTCTTTTTAACTATAGCAACTATGACCCAAAGAAGAAAAAAGACAGCAACAATTGCTTAAAAAGATGTCAAAATCCGATCATGGAAATAATTAACTTAATCGGTGAATGGGAAAGGAAAATCAGGTCTCCTGGGCCCTAAACTTCATTTATGTTTCAGCAGTAGAAGGGAAGGCAGTTTTAATGTTTGTGCATGGCTATAGAGGGGAGGGCTGCTCCCAGGGAAGCGCCTGGAGCGGGCAGAACCCGGATACATGGCGGGAAAGCGCATCCCCCCGGGAAGCCGTCAGCGCCAGCACAGGAGATTCACCAGCCAGACCGAGCCTCCGCGCCGCGGACAAACAAACAAACAAACGAAAGAAGCCACTCCCCATACACCACCGGAGGGACGGCCCATCCCACGGCAGCCCAGCGCCGGGCACTCACGTCCTGGTGGTCCTCCACCACCCACACCGGCAGCGCCGGGTACTCCCGCAGGCAGCCCCCGCGGGGCCGACCCCCACCGCCGGCCTCCTGCTTCCCACCGCTCATGCCGCCGCTCCTTCCCTCCCTCCCTCACGGTGGGCAGTGCTTCCGCCCGCAGGACCTCCCATTGCTTTCCTGTTCCGGAGCCGGAGCGCTGCGGGCAGGGCTGGCCTGGGCAGCAGCGGCGGCGGCGGCGGCGGCGGCGGCGGCGGGGCCAGGTGGGCTCGGCGTGCCCGGCTGCCCGCGGCGGGGCGGGCGGGGGCTCCCCAGGGCCTCTCCGCGCTGCTCTGGTGCCGCGGGTCTCCGCGGGCGCCGGGATGGGGGGGCGCGCAGATTCCCAGGGGAGCGGGCGCGGCGACTCCGCGGTGCTGGCGGGGGTCGGGGTGGCGGGCAAGAGCTCTTGGTGCGGGAAGCAGGGCCTGGCCGGGTGTCGGCTCAGCGCCAGGCGGTCTCCGTGCTGCCACCGCTCCGGGGGCAGTCGGGAGGCCGGGTGTCACAGAGTCACAGGATGGGTCAGGTTTGAAGGGATCACAGTGGGTCATCTGGTCCAAGCTCCCTGCTCAAGGAAGGGTCGTCCTAGAGCACATGGCATAGGATTGCGTCCAGATGGTTCTTGAATATCTATAGTGGGGGAGGTTCCACAAGCTCTCTTGGGCAATCCATTCCAGTGCTCGGTCACTACCCAGTAAAGAAGTTCTTCCTCGTGTTCAGGTGGAACTTCCTGTGCATCAGTTTCTGCCCATTGCTTCTTGTCCTGTTGCTTGGCACCACCGAGAAGAGCCTGGCTCCATCCTCTTGACACCCCCATTTTAGATACGTAGAGACATTGATGAGGTCCCCTCTCAGTCGTCTAATCAAGATGTGTCGGTGCCCTGTTGCTCTCAGAGGTGTGTCGTCAGGGAGAAGCGAGTTTGTTCGGTCTTTTTTAGGGAACCAATGTTGCTTTAATGTGCAACGGCTCCCACCAGTGCAATACATTTCCTCTTCTAGGTGACAGGAAAAGGGGAGTTAGTGCTTTTTGTTGTTTTTGTGCTTACCTAACTTTAAATAAAAATTGGATGTGACTAGAGTTTTCAGCGGAGGGATCTTTAAAGTAATTCAGTCATTTAAAATAGTTTCTTATGTTTTTGAATTTCTTTTTCCAGCTGTGATTCTGTGCATTCTGAAGGAGTGAAATTAAGGTGATAGAACCAGAGCAGTTCTCTGGTGTTGAGGAGATTTTAGAGCCTATTTAAGAGAGCTGATAAAGAAAGCCCTTTCTTTGAATGCTATGACATATTAAAAAGAAACACACCTAAAGACAAGGCACTGTGGTACAGTGACCTTTGCTTTAATTTAGGGTTTAGCTTAGCCTGTTTAAATAAAATATGTATGTAAATGTTAGAAAAGTCTGAAACAGTTTACTGTTACAAGCGTGAGCTGTGTAAGAGCATGACAGGAGAACTAAAGCAAAATTGATTCAGTATGTAATGGAATAGAATTATTAATAACAAAAGGTTGTGCTCTTGCTTTATGAAATAATGGAAGTTGACTTTCTTTTTTCCCCCTGTTGTTTTTTTTTTTGAGAGCCTTTACAAAGTTGGAGGGTACTGAGCAGGTACAGGCTGACTGAAAGGAACAAGTGACTTTATACCATTGTGGCTGCTACTTCCTAGAAATGTGGGATTCTCGCTTACTTTGGCATTTGGTTGTTCTGGAGAGGGAATGAATACCACTGCCACCAATTCCAGAGGCTTCCAATAAGCCCTGCGTGTGTAAGAAGAGTCTTAGGGTCCTCTTGATTCCTCCTCTTTGATGTCAGTACTTTTCCCCTCTGTTTCTTTTCCTTTCTCCCTGCAGTTCACCAGAAGTTGTCTGCTTTCTCTCAGCAAGAGCTACATCTTTTGCTGCAGTGGCACCGAAGTGCAGCTGAGAGTAGTGCTGTGAGCAGTCCAGGTTGGCCATGTTGCACTGTAGCAGGTGGGAGAATGCTCTGTGCATGTACTTCACCATCAGAAAAGCCTCATTAAAAGGGAGGCTTTGCTTTCTGTTTCTGATGATCTTTCCAATTGTGTCTGTGTCTTCCCTTTCTTTCTCTCACTTCCCTTTATGGAAGACAGGATTTCAGTTCTATGGGTGCTTAGCTAATTCTTTTCCCTCTCCCTCTATTCCAGCCATAAAGTGTTTTTTTCCCCCTTTTTTCAGTTTTTGAAACTTAACATTGTAATTAAGGAATCAATTTTAACTGATGAAGCACAGTGGTTTTCCTTTATAAACATTAATACAATGCCTTAAATACATGCGTAGCTTTGAGCAGCACTCAAACCTACTTGAAGCAGTGGCAATTGGTGAAAGGTAACAAGAAGGCAGCTGAGGGATTTCTTGGGAACCATTTATTTCAATGAAAAAGAAGGAATAGCACAGTCTACACGAAATTGTTTTCCGTAACCTGTAAGATTCACATTCAACAAAAATATACCTACCTCACTTAAAATTCTTTGAAGGGTCTGTTGAATTCAGTCCTTTAGTAAATTGGGGACTCAGTTGTGAATGTAAATTACTACTATCTCATTTAAAATTTACCTGATTTGTTGGACCAGATAACTTGCAATGGAGTGTTAGTCACGTCATTCTGCCCAAAGTTTAGAATTGCGTTCTACAAAGAACTCCTTTTTATGCAACTTCGGATGACAACTGCAGTTATTAATAATGAGTGGTTTCTTCGGTGTGGGGTATCTGAGGTTTTTATGTCAGAGTTTCTAAGTACTAGTAGAGGTGCTTGAATCCTTGACCAGTCATCATATCAATAGTTTTTTGAAATTAACATTGCCCTAAGTCAGAAAGCATGGTCCAGCTTTGGTATAAAGACTGTAGAGTGCATTCATGGATTAAAGGCTTAAAGGAATCAAAGGGACATAGATGACCTGTACTAGAGGTCTGAGGAGCACAAAGCTCCCAGTGAAAGTCAGTGGACATTGTTTACTGCTTCTGTTAAAGGAAACTGCAGAAACTATAGTTTCAGCATTTTAGGATTAGTTCCTGCAAATGCAGTAAGGACATCTTACAAAAATTGTGTGACACTGGACTTTTACTTTCCTCATTAAAGGTGAGCCATGTCTTTCCATTCTGGACGAGGATGTCCCCGTGGTCAAGGGGGACCAGGAGCAAGAACTTCAACGCAGACCTACCGCCCTCAGAACCTACGGCAGCTTCACCCACAGCAGCCCTCCGTACAGTACCAGTATGACCAGCAAACTGCCCCTCCAACAACCTATTCAAACCCTCCAGCCACTGGTTACATGCCTCCCAGGCCAGACTTTGTGCCCTATCCTCCTCCAGTGCCCCCTTCCACACAAAATCCCATCAGCCAGTGTCCCATGAGGCCACCATTTCCAAACCATCAGATGAGGCAGAGCTTCCCGGTGCCTCCATGTTTCCCTCCCGCTCCGCCACCAGTGCCAAATCCTAGCAACACTCCTGTGCCAGGAACTCCTGCTGGACAAAGCACCTTTCCTTACATGATGCCTCCTCCCACAGTACCGCACCCTCCTCCCCCACCAGTCATGCCACAGCAGGTCAACTACCAGCCTGTGTACTCCACGGGATACTCCCAGCAGTCGTTCCCACCACCTAGCTTCAACAGCTATCAGCACAACTCTGGCTCCTTCCAGAGCAGCACTGCCAACAGCAGTGGCGGCAGCAGCCATTTTCGGCACACGGGTCAGTACCAGGGAGAGAAGCCTCAAAGTGATCGGCGGTCTCCAGACAGGAGCAAGCACTATGATGAGCACCGACATCGCGAGCACGGTCACATCCACGGGGACAGGCATCGGTCTGCTAACCATGGGGATCGTCGGGATCGAGGCCGGAGTCCAGATAGGAGGAGGCAGGAGAGCAGTCGGCACCGGACAGATTATGACAGAGGAAGGATATCGCCTCATCACAGAAGTTACGAGCGAAACAGGTAACTTGAGGTATTTTCTGCCTGCAGGGGGAGAGATGTCATCATTGCCCCATAGTATTAGTTTGCGTCAATGTTCTTCTCTCACCCTTGTTTTTCCCTCTAGCTCAGGAGGTAGCCAGTACTCAGGTCTGATGGAAAGACCTGCCTGTGTGATTCTGTTCAGGGTGAAGACCTCAGCAAGCCAGCCTGTGATCTCAAGAGAGGACTGAAGTGAACATTACCATAAACCTGTTAAAGGAAGTGGGACAGTCGTAGGCTGTGTCGACATCATTCAGAGGGATGAGTGTGCACTGCTTATTGTGGGATTTATAATGAAGTTTCTGTCCCACGATAGATCCACAGTTGGGTGGACTAACAAGTTGTCAACTGTTAGCAGAGTATGAAAACTGCCTGTGTGATCTTTCCTGCCCAATGTATACAATAATTTCATAGAATCATTTAGCTTGGAAAACATCCTTAAGGTCATCAAGTCCAACCCTTTACCTAATGCTGCCAACTCCACCACTTAACTGTGTTGCTAAGTGCCACATCTACATCTCTTTTAAATGCCTTCAGGGCTGGTGAAACCACCACTTCCCTGAGAAGACTGTTCCAGTGCTCAACAACCCTTTCAGTGGAGAAATTTTTCCTAATATCCAAATGAAATGTCCCCTACTGCAACTTGAGGTTGTTTCCTTTCATTGTCACTTGTTACTTGGAAGAAGAGACTGACCCCCACCTTACTGCAACTTGCTGTCAGGTAGTTGTAGAGAGCAGTAAGATCCTCCCTGAGCCTCCTTTTCTTCAGGCTAAACAACCCCACCTCCCTCAACCACTCGTCATATGACTTGTGCTCCAGACCCTTCACCAGCTCTGTTGCCCTACTCTGAACATGCTGCAGCTTCTCAATGTTTTTCTTGTAGTGAGAGGCCCAAACTGGACACAGGACTCAAGATGTGGCATCACTGAGTACAGGGAGATAGTCACTGCCCCAGTCCTGCTGGCCACACTATTTATAATACAAGCCAGGATGCCATTGGCCTTCTTGGCCACCTGGGCACACTGCTGGCTCATGTTCAGCTGGCTGTGACCAGCGTCCTCATCTCCTGTTCCACTGGGCAGCTTTCCAGCCACTCTTCCTCA